CTTCTTTCATCATATCCATTTAAATGGATCACATCACGTAGCTAGATGACGTAGCTCTAGTGATGCTAAGAATGGTTACCTCCCCCATCCCCCCCCCCTACTAGCACCTCATAAATTTGCTAGTGCTTCGCTTCTGCATATACATAGCTATGTTCAATTATGATTTGTTTCTTTGAGTTTTGAAGGATATTGAAAACACTATTATAGTTTTACATACGCGTACCTAGTTCTAGACCTTTATAAGCGTGACTGCTTGTCCGGTTTGATTTATTACTATATCTGATCTTGCAATAAGCTTGTACATGACTATTTAACAAACAATAAACTATATTAAAATGTAATATTTATAGGCAAAACCATAATGTTTGCTACAGAGATATTGCAATATACCTGTACACAAGTTGAAGCACTTTGAATCTGGAAAAAAAAAGTACAAATGAAATAAGCATTAATTTAAATTACTAACTAATATTTACTTATAAAAAATATACATTTATTAACGTGTCGAAAACAGTTTCAGCAACATAAAGTGAAATATGGGTATTAAATAATTGTTCCAACCAACCTTCACACTTTGAGAAACATGCATCACCTAAAAATAGAAAAGACACCATGAATAATGTACCTTAATTTACAAAAGAGACTACTATTTTAACAGTTTTATTTTAAATGTTGAGATCTCTTTCAATTCCACATACCATCTCTTTGTAATTTCGGTTCCAGATAAGCCTACCATTGTTATTCTTTTTTTTTTCTGTATTATGTTGACAATTATCAATAAAGAATTTGTAAATAAACAACAACTTTGAATAACTGGGGGAATTCATTTCATATATTAGGCAAAAAAAATATTGTGTTGGCCACGCCTGACTGACCACAATTTTATGAAGTTAATAGTCGGCATTATAGTTTATTACTATTTTTTTTTTTTTTTGACAATAAAAAATATTTCTTTATGAGCAAACAAGGCTGGAATACCCATGGTGACAAAAAGTACACAAGAAAATCCTACTGAACTATTAACCTATTCTTTTTTATTTACCAAAAAAAAAAAAAAAAAAAAAAAACCGTGGTCAACAGGATTTAAGTTTTTTAGCCTTATTGAGTTTCTTTTTTTAATTATATTGCCACAATCAGAGTAATGTAAACTACCCACACGTAAAAAAAATGTGATATAATTGCTGTCGCCTTGTGTAAAGAACAACTTGACCACTGCTTGGGTATTTACCCAAGGTCTTGGGTATTTTGACTTGGTTTTGGTTTCTTGGGTATTCCGTTCAAATCCTTGGGTATTTTATTTTTACTAAGACAATTAAATATTGTTGTCATAGAGGAAGAATTAAGAAGTAACTAGGTATATTCAGTCCATTAAAGTAAGCAAAACTCAATAAAGTGCACATAACATTGTTAATTGACTGATAATTGCTATAAACATGGGTTCAGAATTGTTTATTTGTGATTTGCGTTGCCATTGATCTTACCTAATTAATGCATTACATAATAAAACTTGGTAAGTGATGTATTGATAACAATACTGGCCGACTGAGGGCGTATTTTTCTATCCGTATTATCACCTCATGAATATTAATTTTAATAATTAACACAAACAATTACAATAAAAAATGATTTATAGAATGAACTAAAAGGGAAACTATACATGCGAAAAAACACGGTTTTTTTTTTTATTATTTTATTTCAATGCATTTTCTGGAAGCTTGGGTAATTTTATGCAATTTTTGTTGAATCTTGGGTAATTTCGACCCAGTCATTGTGTATATCAAAAATTGCGGGTGGTCACGTTGGTAAAGGGAGTTTTGGAAGGACTCCGTCGTGTTTTGAGCTCCCTGGGTATAATTCAAGTACACATCAAACCTAAGAACATCCTTCGCAGCTCCTATTGTCACCCGAAGGACAAGATGGACAAGAAGTGCAACACGGTATGTAGCTCTTAATGCCGGAACTGTTATGCTTCGTATAGGAGATAATGAACGACCCCTAGGTGTCAGAGCCGCTCCACACAACAGAGACCTCCCCCGTGGCTAAGATCCATACACACCAAAAGAGTTAGGTTTAGTAGAGGAAGGAGAACAATGTTCCACACAGGCGGGTGACTCAATTGTCTCAAGGTCGTGGCGAATATCAGCAATCTTCTGGATGAAAGTCAGCAAACTTGTTTTCCAGAATCTTCGGACAATTATGATCCGTTGTCTTATAAACGCTGATACACTGAGACGCTGATACACTGAGACGCTGATACGCTGGGACGTTGATACGCTGAGACAAAGATGACGTCATTGAAATTCACCGCAA